ACCGCCGGGCCGTTCAACTGGCGTAAATTAAATTATTTGTCGGATATTATGCCGCTGAATGAGAAATTTGAGCCTCTCGCTTAATGACAAAATCGTGTTCGTTACGCAACTCTTACGATGAATGTCGCGATGAGCATCGCGCGCTGAAAAATATCGATATTGCGAGCACGCGCATATTTATCTGCTTCGGGATATTAATAGAGAAAATAGAGCGAAAGTGAGAGGAGACGCGCGCGAAAGAGGAAATCGACGAAAAGTTAATAGAATGTGAAACGTTCGCGAGTCGTAAGGAAATCTCGATTGGCACTTGAAGCCTCGGAAGCGAACGGGGGTTTGTGATATTAAATTAGAATATTCTCAACATGTATATACGCGTATATACACTCAAAGCGCGCAGGTATACGCTCGCGTAAGGCGCCCTCCTCTCGTGGAGATGCGAGCGTATCCACCCGCCCTGAATATCAATTCCTTTCCCGGTCTCTCGTAAAAGGAGAATCTATATTCACGCGTCCATACACACACACACACACACACACACACACACTTGAGGGTTGTATTATAGTGCGTCGTATTGAATTCTTTTCAATTTATCGACCAATCGATTACCGCACCGCTTAAAATGACCCGTCCATTACCGGGGTTTAAGAAATTACTTTCTTTTTCTACTGCAGACACAGGAAGACGAACTACATAATTATAAAAGCAATCTATATCGATCGGATAATCAACGATAGATTCCTAATTACAAACGATTAAATGGCTTTCCGAATAATTCAAGTGGCACGAATATAAAGATTAGATTAACAATAAATTAATGAAGCGTCGCTTACAATAAAAATGAGATTACAATAAAAATCAGCTCGATATTATTGATTACTATTGATGAATTCCTTTCGGAGCAGCAATTAATTCAGCAACCGAAATGAAATTCCAATAGAATAGATAGAAGCAAAAGAGATGTTCGTCACGCCGAAGTAAGTAGATAATAACACGCGTGCATTGACCTAGTTTGCGCCGTTAAATTAATTGATACGAGTATCAGGTTGGTGCGGTCTAAGTTTTGATACGTCACTGTTTACACCGATTTATTTCGGAATAAGTTATGATAGGTTTTTAGATTTTTCATTTTACAAAACTTCTAATTCTAATTTTAATCTTAAAGTAACTTTAACCTAATGCAGCAGTTGATGTATTTAATCCGATTGAAAACGAACTAACAATAAGTATTTACAGTGCGTCAGGATCTTTTGATACGCGTACTATTTTGGTCTGATACTAGCGATTCAGAAGTATCAGACCAGATACTACCGTACTAAGATAATTCGCGAACGTTTACACTGACCGTATCAAGCGATTTGATACGGATTTGGTACTTAGTACGCGTATCAAGTGCTCGGTGTAAACTAGGCCATTGTCTCTAATGCGGTGGAGTTTTTTTTATACAAAAATCTGGCATTAGGAAGCTGGCGAGCAATCAGCAAGTCTTTCTCGAATTGATTCGACTTGACTTAATTTAATTTGACTTTTCGAGAAATTTTTTCGAGATGACTTGACTCGACTTGGCTTGTGATTTTACTTGACTGGCTGACGTGTCTGGAGATCGTAAGAAATGATACTACCAACAGCCTAACTGCGTGCTCGGCGTGCCTATATGCAACCTCTGTGCACACCCGCTATGCGCGGATGCCTCGCGGATGTGTGGCTCGCCGAAGGGGGATATTTATGTGCGCCATAGCGTGAGCGCAGGGCATCGCCTCGGCCCTTCTTAACCCCAGCGGCTCCGTCGAGCACACACATATACATGTACATGTGCACTCGCACAAGCGCCTTCGGCGGAACGTTACTTCGAGGTGTAATTCGCCAGATTACCATCGGATTGAGTAATTTCAACGTAATCGCATACGATCGAATCCCTCCAGCTGACCGGCTCTCCTTCGACGTGTGTCGAAATGCATGCATGCGACGCGAAACGACCGCAATTTCTCGCTATCGTTTAATAACAACTGTGTGTCGACTGAATTGCACGGGGGTCTCTCGAACGCGAACAAGCCGCCTCGGAAACGTTAGTCGCGCGGGGCGATACATAGCTGCGAACACGCCAAGATCCGCGAATATGCATAAATTTACCGCGGCGGGAGAGCGCGCGAACGGAAATTCGTTTCACTCGCAATGTAAATGAATGTTTTCTAGAACGGCCATATCAGGGTCATGCAAGGGTCTTACATTTTCGATTGTGATTGGTCAATTCGCTTACTGCTTACGTCTGCTTTTTCTATATATCATGGCCTAAAGATCCATCTACAATGAAAGTAATAAGTCATAAGCCGTAAGAAATTGATCAATCACAGTCGATTATTCTTTTCATATTCGACTATGACTGGTCAATTTCTTACGGCTTACGGTTTACTACTCTCATTGTAGATGGATCTTAACAGTCGCGCTTTGGATCTTCGCGAATTTATTGTTATTAATTTATTCATGACGCTGATAAAAAAAAACCAAAATCAACTGAATGGTAGGCCTGTTTTTTTATAGCTGAACTGGCTACACTAGTTGAGAGTTTATCTTTCTTCTTCCAATGTAGAAAGAGAAAGATAAACTGTGAATAAGTGCAGCAGTTCAGCTATAAAAAAACAGGCCTACCATTCAGTTGATTTTGATTTTTTTATCAGCGTCATGAATAAATTAGTAACGATAAATTCGCGAAGATCCAAAGCACGACTGTTTCAATACGGACGCGAATCCGATCTGCGTTGTAATTCGTAGTAATTTAAATCGACACGCTTAATAGCTTCCGGACGAGCCTCCCCGACGGAAGGTCGTGGGGTGTGGTCGCGTGGTCAACGGCTAAGTCCCCGATGACGACGAGCCTAAATCGATCGTACAATCCGGGATTAATAGAGTGCGAACTAATTTTCGAATGTTCTAATAAATCCTGGACCCCTCCGCCCTTCCGACGGGCTGCCCTCATCGCGGATCTTGCCTCGCCTTCTCGGGCTGATCGTGAGTTTCGCCGCGCGCGGAGCGAGAGAGAACCGATTGGTCTGGTGGTCGAAGAAGCCAGATAGATTCGATTAAGCCGCGAGTTTCGTTAACAACTAACAAACGTCGAACGGTTCTTGACTAACGCGATTACCTCCAATTCCAATTTGTCACCGAGAAACCGTGGCGGAAACGACGGCAACTTTCTGTCCTCGCACGGAGAAGAATACAGAATTGAAGTCTCGAACGAACGGAGGGACAGAAGGGGGGACGGACGAACGAAACGGAAGTACGAAAGGACAGACTCGCGGATCAACTAGGTCACATCCCTAGTCAGCCGCGCCGCCAAGTTTCGAGTCTCACGGGTCCCTACTGCCCTATATAGTCGTCGGATCCGTATTGTTATCAAACTGAATGGCTGACAAATTACGCCGAGGAGTTCTCAAGATGCGGGCTCACGTCGGACGTTTGCGTCTCTTACGTATTATAATACGCAGATTCATAAAAGCATGTAAGGGAGAGCTTGCTGCGGGACACAAATGTAGATGGCAAACGAGTAAAAATATCTTTGCTGCGCCTCAGTCTTTATTTCTGGAATCATTCAGCTCTATATAATACATATAACTATATATACACATATAAATGTATAGTTTTTGTACACGGAAAGAAATTTATTAACAGTATTAGCCAGCAGCAGTCTAATTAAAAATAATTTTTCCGGTATCAAATTTTTTATGAAAAAAATATATAATTTATAATCATATACATCAAATATATAATCTCATATTACGTTCCTGTATATGTTTTCTTTCTGTTGTAAAATCTCCATATCCATATATGTATATAGAACAGATAATGAAAAGAATAATTGAAAAATGTTCAAAAAAATAATTTTTGCATTGTTTTTTAAAAAGTAAAATGGTGATTACATTGTTATTTTTATTTTTAAAAAATAATTAAAAAATTATTTTTTTTATTATTTTTTATTTCTTTTTAATATATTATCTGTCCTGTTTATATGAACAGAAATTATACAAAAGAAATAAAACATATATGGACATATTATACACATAATTATATATATTTTATATGAATTTATATATTTTTTATATATATGTTTTTATATTAAAAACTTTTTACCGGGCTGTTAATAACCAATAACAGTATGAATAAAACAAATACGCGTCAGGCTCTTGTTTTTTTAAATAAAATATTGCATGTTTTATATCTGATGTTATTGAATAAGATTATTTTTAATTAGACTTATGCTGTTAATATGCTGATCATATATAATTTTTTTCTCCATATATAAAAGATTCATAGAAATTTATTATTATTTGTAACAAGAGAATCAGTTTTTTTGTTACCTTTTTCAAGAAAATCAATAACGTATTTAATAAATTTTACAGCTGCATGACTGATATTCGAACAATACAGATGTATCGAGATATTGTCGTGTATTTTGCCAACAAAATTTTATTTAATTGAAATAAATGAGGTAGATAAGTCATTTTTAATTTGGCCAACCTTTTACACAACTGAAATATTCTTTTCTTTTATTTAATATACAATGAACTAATTACATTTACTTGAAATATTCTTTTCTTTTATTTAATATATATGAACTAATTACATTCACCTGAAGTATTCTTTTCTTTTATTTAATATACATGAACTAATTACATTCACCTGAAATATTCTTTTCTTTTATTTAATATATGTATTAACATATTACATATTAACATATTACATTATAATGTAATATATGTAAACTAATTACATTCATTTTAAAAATAAATTTTATTAAAAATTCATAATATAGACGTGAATCGCCATCTAGCGGTGCACTCGCTAATGTAATACTCGACAATTGTGTATTCTAGGTGAAAGTGTATTTTGCAATAAAAACCTGTAGCTATTCTCGGTAAGGCAGGTTTCCCTCTATTTGTTTCTCAATATTTCTCAAGATGGCAGTCGCATCGAGCAGCAGACTTACTCCACTTTCTGTGTATAGGGTCGCGCGCCGTCGAGTCGAAGACCGTGGACGGAACAAAGATGAAATATCGGGCGTCTGTTTGAGGTTAGACAAAGGGTGTCGCGGGTCGCTTTCGCGCTCGTGCGTCTTCACGTCGCAAGAAGAGGAGGAAAAAAAAACGGGGTATCAATTGATTTTCGTGCATGCGACGTGACCATCGGCCGCCATCATGAGTAAGATGTACTCGACGGCGAACCTGTCCGACAAGGAGCTGAAGGAACAGGGGAACCGTCTCTTCGATCTGCACAAATACGAGGACGCGGCCAGTTGCTACACGAAGGCGATTGTGAGTATAGAATTGACATTGCCTGGCGCACGCTTATTGTCGCACGGTCGTCGTGTGCGATCGTGACCCTGGGCTTGTCCGCGCACCTTTCGTGCGCCTGTACTCGCTTTCGCTACGGTTGTTATTGCAGCAAAATATTTTTTGTTTTGAATCACGAGTCACGCAGTGTGCGAGCGATAACGGGTTGCCGGAGGGGGGGGGGACACGACGGTGCCCCTTAGCGCCCCGCGTTCGAACTAGAATTTGGCGAGAGCGAGATTTAAATCCGGTTTTGCGCCTTCTCGAACGCGCGCCCGAATGTGAGACAAAAGAGCGATTTTGCTCCACGAACGCGATCCTCTTTTGTTCATTATTAATATTTTACTTATTATTTGTATTGTTTATTCCTAATATATTTTTTTTAATTCTATTTGAGGTGAAAAATCCAGGCCAGGCGTTATATTATACAAATCGGGCGCTGTGTCACTTGAAGCTGAAACGATGGGAGTCCGTGTGCAAGGACTGCAGATGGGCGTTGGATATAGATCCCTGTTTGATGAAAGGTCACTTCTTCCTGGGACTCGCCCTGCTGGAATTGGAGCTCTTTGATGAGGCCGTCAAATACCTGCAGAGAGGTAAAATATATAGAGAGATGGACCTGCAGTTTCCCTCGCTGTTTCTTCATGCGTAAGATAGATTTGTAAGATGCAGGATTATACTTATCTCAAACGACGCGTAGCCGTAGACTTGGCGAAGGAGCAGAAGCTGAACTACGGCGACGACATCACCAGCGTGTTGCGCCAAGCCAAGAAACGTCGATTCCAAGTGAGGGAGGAGCAGAGAATTTCCCAGGACATCGAGCTGCAGACCTATCTGAATCAGCTGATTGTAGACGACGCGAAGCGTAACTTGGCGACTCTGCAAGAACAGGAGACGACGAAGGACTCTGACGTTGAGACGAGCTCGGCCGAATTCGCCAGGAGAAAAGAGGAGATCGAGGAGAAGCGAGATACGTGTATATCGAGACTCAATGATCTCTTCGCTAAGGTCGACGAAAGGAGACGGGTTCGTATCTCTTTAGCTGTCGCTTCTTTTAGAACGATCCTTTGATTTTATTACTCCATAGTTCTGTTAATATAATTTTGTAAATTCTGCTAATATAATCCATACAACTCTATTAAATAACAATAAGTGACTCTAGACCGACATGAAATAAGAAAGAAACTCCTTTTCGATCTGAGATATATTTTTGTGCTTAATACTTTGCATGCCGATTTAATTTTCGGTTTTGAAATGTAATCTTAAACTGAAACTGGGATAATATCGCAAATTAAATTGACAAGCAAATTATAAATAATATTAATGCCAATAAATATCTTAAAACACTATAAAGAATTTATTGCGAGACAACAAAAGAAATATTATGCTCTTTCTATTAATTATCAATGCAAATAAATTTTTTGCAGAAAAGAGAGGTACCCGACTACTTGTGTGGCAAGATTAGCTTCGAGATCCTGCAGGAGCCGGTAATCACGCCCAGCGGAATCACCTACGAGCGGAAGGATATCGAGGAGCATCTCCAACGGGTCGGACACTTCGATCCGGTCACACGAGTGCGCTTGACGCAGGATCAGCTGATCCCGAACTTGGCGATGAAAGAAGTGGTCGACACCTTCCTGCAGGATAACGAATGGGCCTTGCATTACTGATGCCGATATGTAGCTTACTGCCATAGGTTTAAGTTACGGTGGTGGCGTTGTTCAGCGACGGAAGATGAAAATGTGAGTTTTGTTTGAAGAGATTTTGAGGTGGATACAACTACAAGAAATCTCAAGAGGAAGTGTGTAAAATAGTACGACTGTACATGTAAAGGACTAAGTATCTCTTGTTACCGTGAAATATTTTTACACGCCATATGAGACGTGGAAGCTATTGTTATCGAACGTAAGTATACTAGTGAATAGTTAATAACGACGATAAGGATCGTCGTTATTAAATGTGAGCACGTACAGGTTATATATATATATAAAATTCCATAAGTGCTACATATATACAATTATTATTAATTACATGTATAGGATTTATTAATTTACCTTTGATCAACAATCTGATTTACAAAATTTTCGTTAAATTTTTTTTTAGTTTACAAAGACGAAATTTTCGTGATCGTGTTTTAAATAAAATCGAACTTTTGAAGAGTTTTAACAAAAGCTCAAGAGTTAACTGAAAGTTCCAACACACAGTGGCTCAAAGAAAAACATAGGATAGTAAACGCTATTTAGCATCTGTATTCTTGTTTCATAAAAAAAAAAAAATAAATTATTTATTTTATCAACCAAAATCTCTCACGTTTTTACCGTTGTATGCTATAGAAAGTAATTCCAGTTCTTTACAATTACTTCCTATAATTTCTCAAAGATCACTAGTGAAGAGAGATCTGAAATCCACTCAAGGTATTTATTTTAACATTCAACTGACAACAATATATTCATGTATGTATATATATATATATATATGTACAGTTTTACGTATACGCAATATTATTGTATATATGTATCGCAATCGTCGCAATTATATGTAATAATAATAATTACTACCGTCCGCCGTCGGTGTATTGGTTTGAGTTATTGCACAAGCTACATCGACAATATGGTTAACAAAAGTGCGACAGGATAGATTACTCTCTTTGTAGCTCTAATAATAATTATAGCAGCCATCGCGATAATGAACTGCTTGTAACAGTTTCCCTCCTTTTTTAATATTTTTTTTATATTTTTTATGTCTATTTCTACCAATGTAGAGATTAACTTTAATTTCGGTTTAATTTACTCTTTATCCTTCTATAATTCTTAAAACTAGAGAAAGATGAAATGTAAAAATGGAGATTAAAATTATTCTACATTGGTAGAAATGAACATTAATGAAATTAAATACGAGATTGTCGATTGTGTGGTAAAACATTAGAATTTAGAGAATGTCAAATGGAAGATAACTAGTTTCAGTCAAGAAATAGTATAGCATTCACTAAAAGATAAAAGGAGATAATCTTCAATTCACTTAAATAATATTTCAAAATTTCTAAGAACACGTTATAAAACGCATCCAATCTCTAAACAGAGTCTTTCTTTCTTTTGAGGAAGATCGAGCGAGTATAAGATAAAAAACTAGTATGTGCATTGTAACAAATGATATGATATCAAGATATGATTTATCTCTCGTCATTAATTAACCGATGACGATTTTCGTCATTGTTTAATCGAGGACTCCTATTGTTATTATTTAATTAGTCGCTTAACGATTGCTAATGCAAGTTATCTCTCTGTTTACTAATAGACTCGAAGAAACAAAATTCTACTTATTGTCCGCGTTAACATTTGTACGTTTTAGGCGAATACTCCACAACCGAGTAGTCATTAATTCATTAATTCTTTGCACTAGAATATCTTGTCTTAACATGAGTCTATAAAATCTTTGTTAGTCACATCTGTGCAATCGATAATGTGAAAAATTCGTGTTTATATTCCTATACATGTTGCTGCAATCTATATATATATATATATATAATTATATAACAGAATATGTAACTGGATGTAATAAAGTTTCTTGTATAAAATAATACAACCATTTTTTCACGCGGAAAGATATTCAAGTGCAAAGAGTTAAGTCTAAAATATCACCGGAAGATATCAGGCCATTTGAGTTGTCGCAAAGAAATGCGAGCAGGAAGATTCCGTGGAATATTCGGAAACACCTTTAATGTTCAATTTCGACCCAGACTTGAACTCTTTCTTTTAATCAAATACAACAATGCATATATTATGTATATATACATATATATATATAATTTTTTAAATAATATATTCCATGTATCACAGGTCGAATTTGAACATGCGCAACGGGATGAAATCAGAATCATAATTGACCTACGTGAAACTAATTAGTTGATTAACCTATGGCCGGGACGATGATAATATCTCTTAGCCCGAAGAAACCAGTTCTGTCGGTTGAATTAATTGCCTTTCGGCTTTCCAGGCATCCTCCGAGTGCGCATCGCATGCCGCGCACTGTTAATATTATTGTCAAGCATGATTTAGTCCAATTATTGTCATCAATTTTCATCCTCTTTACATTAAGTTCATTATTGTCACATCAGTCCACGTAATCAATTGTGGATTCCTGGATCCTTAGATCTTTGGCAGGATCCCATATATTCATCTTGAATTTATACTATACTCGAATTCTCTTGAATTCCCCATCCGTGCTTGCCCTCATCCATATTTTTAAATATACCTTTGAATATCTCCGTCTTCTTATTCACTTATTTGCGCTCTCTCGGATTCTTATGAGTGCTTATAGGATTAGATCTCTTAGATCCATTGATGTTCAAAAGCTCGAAACTTATCAAATACCCATAGATCTAAGGATCCAAACGCTCAGATCCAAGGCTACCTATCTAAAACAATGTTTTGGGTATACCCACCCAAGTCCACTGGACGGCTCCTACCGCTAAATCTTATTAAATCTGACGTTAATCGCAATCGCTAAAGAGTAAATGTTTCATCGTTAACTTGTATAACAGGCAATTTTCTCCGCACAAGATTACTTTTCATTACCGTCCACGCGACGCGCGATTGTGTTGTTCGCTCGGAAACTGCGTATGTGCAGATGGTTGTCTAGTATTTTTCAGTATATCCGCGAAGCTTCGAAAGCCATTTCGCATAGTTAACGTCACTTAAGAAACTCAAAATTGCAAACGAGTTTATACCTCTCAGGCGGAGATACATTCAAAAATGTTCTCGAATAAATATATTCTTATCGAGATATATGTATATCTTATCCGAGACATCAGATAATCTTAAATCCTAAGTGTTATTTTTTAATCAGAGAATCTTTGAAGAAAAATTTGAATGGTTAACAAGTTGACTGGTTAACAAGTTGTTAAAGTTGATTGGAAAAAAAAAGAAAGATAAAATTAATCTCTTTCAAGAATGCATCTCCGTCTTTGCATTATGAAGAAACGTCTTCTACCGCCGAAGCTTATGTTAATTGACACAATAGATAAGATCCTACCACGCGGATGTGCGCTGACTACAAATCGACCAGATTCACCAAAACAGATTACAGCCATTTTCGACGAAATGGCAACAGCAGCAGTCGAAAATGATCGTCACAGGATGAATTGGAGCGTTTCTCGAGGCAAGATCATCCACGGAAACGCGCGTCGCGATCGAGATTGATCCTAGGTGAGGTCCTCGTCCTCGTCATCGCTGGGACCGCCCGTAGGACAGCACAATCCTTCGGAACCGTCACTCCTGATGCAAAACAGCAATGTCTCGGCCACTGTCACTTCGTGCGGCATGATTCCGTGGAATTCTTTCAGATCCGCCGCGGGGAACCAGGCCTTTTCGTTGTCGTCAATGATGAGAATTCCATAATATCTGGAAAGAGCCATTAAGAATTAATGTGAAATTCATGAAAAGCAAGATACTGTGCGTTATTGATGAGTATTAATATTGTAGTATTAATATTAATATTATAATTAAATTATAATATTAATATTCAGAGAGAGATTAATGCCAACCTGCAAATAGCGACTGCGGGTATCCATAAAACGGAAGTAAGAATGAGAATGGCGATAAGGACTAGAGACCAAACGGGCCATTCGTATCTCTCTGTAATGCCTTTACTCGATACCCAGGCCGAATAACCGCTTCCTTCGAAAAATATTTCGACAAAGGACGCGATCAAAATACTCAACATCGCCAGTGGACTGAGATACTTCCAACATATCAACCAGTAAAGGCCAGGTCGATTGCCGGTCATTAGTTCGATATCATCAGCGAATCTGGAATCATCGTAACGTCCCGACATACAACATATTTTTTATTCAAAATCCTGAAGCTCCTTCCGTACTTACCTCTTTAAACCGTAGACATAGGACACCCCTATACATTCAAAGAACGCGATTATGAGCAATGGAAAGTTTCCACTGAAATTGTCGAACAATACGAAGACGTAACTGCCAGCTCCGTGAGCGAAAGCCATGGAGATCGTGCAGCACACTAAACAAATCACACCTGCGCACAAAATCGAATTTATTCTCATCCGTAACTTCTTTCACTATTCTTTTCGCTGCTGCAAGAAGTGTACCTGTCAGAATCTCCTTTCTCAAATTCGGGAAGAGCTTCATATCGACGATACTGGTGACGACACCTTCCAAAGTACCAAACTGAGAATCGATTCCCAGCGTGAACAGCATCAGGAAGAACAGTATCGACCAGAATTGAGCACCGGGAAACTGATTGATCGCCTCGGTGAAGATGATAAACGCCAAGCCTGTACCCGACGCCGACTGTAATCATTTATTAATCATTACTAGACGTTACTCGTGATTCGACGCGAGCTAAGAGTCACTTTCACACACTCACGTTATCCAGCTCCTTCTCCAAATCGCATTCGGGCAGTTCCGGCATTATCAAGTCCAGCGATCCGTTATTCGTGACGTTCAGCGGCGTGCCGGCGATCGGGATGTTCTCAGGTATCTTATTGGCGTGGCCGAATATACTTATCAACGTGTTATTCCTTTCCGATAAACACTGTTCGTAAACCATGGTAGCCTTGAACCCTGTTCAAACAGGGATCAAAAATGTATATAGGAATCAGAATCAAAATCGTTTCTGAAGAAAGAAATCACGCGCACCTATGATCGAGAAGACGACGATTCCCGCGAACATGGACGTGAAGCAATTCGTCAGGCTGACCATGATGGCGTCGCGATAACAATTATTATTCACTGGATTGTACGAAGAGAACGCTATCAGGCCGCCGAAAGCTAGGCCTAGAGAGAAGAAGATTTGCGTTCCAGCCTCCAGCCAGACTACAGGATCGGTTAGCGTGTACCACTGAAACGCAAGAGCGAATCGATAGTTGATTTAAATTTTATAACCGTTTCTTCGTTTATTAATAATTCCGGTGGAAATTGTAAAAAAAAAAACGCACCTTTGGCGTGAAGAGATGTCGCAGACCGTCCGACATACCCTTCAACGTCACGCCTCGGAAGAAGAAAATGATCAGGACGATGTACGGAAACGTGGCGGTCACATACACGACCTGAAGAAATCGGATTGATTACTTGAAGAGTTAATAACTAACTTTGGCTGTTGAAAGACCTTTTCCGTACCTTGCCCGAGGACGCGATACCCTTAATCATACACATATATACGAGGATCCAGGCGATGATCAGCGCCAGTGCGATTTTCCAGTTAAACGCTTCCGGCGTATTGATGTCCTTGGATACCATCAGCGTGGTTCGATACCAGAAATATTGCGTAGGGCTGCTGACCTGTTGACCCGGGATCTCACGTTACAAACGAAGGCAAGCTTACTGCGCGCGCATGCACACACTCAGCGAAATAATTTATTGTATATTGTATCGTATTAAATTTCGACGTTTACCAAACACTCGAGTTCAGGCGCGTAAGATCCATTTTGAAAGTACCTATTGGGACACTCCGCCCAAGGGAGCTGCGACTGGAAACTCTTTGAACAGAAATTCAAATGTCTATGAGTGACTCCGACGTGTCAGTAAAAAGGAAATTGAGCAGCAGGTACTAGTCGTTTACCTGAACGAAATAAAATAGGCACCAGGCGATAATTGTATTGTAGTAAAGAGCCACGTTGAAAGAGACTACGGCGCTGCTGATTCCGATACCGCCCATGTACGGGGATACCTTTTAAAACACAGTAGAGAAGCTCGTTTTCAAATATTTGTTTCGATCTATTCATAATGGATTTTTTTTTAAATTTATTCACCTGATTCCACACTCCAATAGCGCCTTTTCTCAATCTCTGGCCGATTGCCAATTCCAGATAAAATATAGGAATACCCTCGATGGCCAGCATCACGAAATAAGGTATTAGAAAAGCGCCTGCAAGCATTAGAAGTCGTGCTTACAAACGTACGAGAAAGAGCCTGGAGCGATCCGAACGAAACGAACGTACCTCCGCCGTTTTTCTGTGCCAGATAGGGGAACCGCCATACGTTTCCAAGGCCCACCGCGTATCCTACGGTCGCCAGGAGAAATGTGAGTTTACTATCCCAACTTTCACGTTCATCTTCGCCCGCTTCCGGTCGGAAAATCGCCTTGCCATCGTTGTTGCCGGGACCGTTGACTATTTTGCTCTGTTCGACGAAGCCAAGAGATTAATCGAATTTTATTCCCTTTAAAATTTATTCGATTCCGGGGTGAACTTATAAATAGATCGTGTACCTTGTTAGGACTGGTGTCTTCGAAGGCCGCATTGGTGGCCCCGTAATTGGCAGTGGCGATGTTCTTCCGACTCTCCACCATTAATCTACCACGCATCTCTTTCATCTCGAGCTTATCGATGCTTTTCTGGGGCTTTAAGTCGCGGGAGCTTTGCCGGCGAACGAGATGAGCCGTGTTCGCCATGTCTTCTCCCTTTTCGTTTTAGTTTTTTTCTCAAGTCCAATTTTTATTAATCGAAAAGGTCTAAGTGCTTCATCCTGTTAAGAAAGGAATCGAAACTGATTACTGAAAATATAAAGGCGGATGCTAAACAAAGTGATCAACAAAAGTCGTTTGTAAGGACGTTATAAATTTTTATTTGTGTTATAAATTTTCCTAGGAAGAAAAATTAAATAATATAGAATTTGTGATAATCTAAAATTATAGAAAATTAATGTATAATATAGTTTATAATATAAAAACATGTTATATAACTATAAAAAGAAATTTATGTCAAGCTTGAACAATTACGTTGTAACGGTAATGCGTTATTACAACACATGTTCGCTGTTTAATTGCTGTTTAAGCCAAATTTAATTCTCTCATACAGAAACTGTCCATATACCATGCATACGACACTCTTATGAGAGTTCGATTTATATTGATACATATGTGTATATATATAAAACATATATATAACGTATATATATCCTCTCACACAGGTGTCGATCGCAATCAAGTGCACATATGCTTCCCAAATACACACGTGTCCTTCTTACGTAAACTTGCGTACATGCCCACCCCCTTACGTGGGAAAAGATCGATTGAAAAACTTCAAATTGGAAATTGATTTTTGCTTTGACGTAAGCGCGCGTGCACGGACGCAAGTTTTATTAAAATTTCTACGCACATCCGTGTGAGAGAGAGAAAGGTTGACTTTCAGTAAAATTAATATATATACGCATTTGCCTCTCGTTATATATAAAAAAACATCCTCGTCATCTCACGCAAGTCCTCCTGTACTTCACTGTATACGTATTTAACGATTGACACAGAAAACCCGGACTCCTTCCCTCGCGTGAGGGCCGAGACTGGCTTTTATTCGGACGTACACGGTGTCCGCGTCACGAGATAGGAGAGAACGTCCCGCGGAGGATCATCCCGAGCCGCTCGCGACTACGCCGCGAGGCCAGAGGACCGAGAGGAAGCGAAATTACCCACCTGCCGGGGACCAAAGGGGGAAACGCGCGAGGACCTTGTCCGCGGTCGAGGAGCGGTTCGCCACTGGTGACACCCCCGTGTGTTGCGCTGGTGATAGTAACTTTTGAAACCACGGATATATCCAAGGGAATCAATAGCTGGCGCCGGCGCCTCGACGGCTCTCTCTCTCTTTCGCCCGCGACTCTCTCGTGGAACGAAACCGCGCGCGAGCCTTTCTCCAAGAGGAAGAAACACCGGGGGGTAGGGAGAGAGAGAACGAAAGACAGGCCATGATTTATCACCATTCTGAAACTTAACGCGTAAATCGCAACAACATTGTACACGAAGTATATATATAAAATTTAAAAAAAAGTACGAACACATGAGGGAAAATTAGGATAGGCGATTGTTAAAAATTGCACAACTTAATTAAGAAATTAAAACATGAGAATTAATCCTGATTACTTTATATCAATAATTAGTTACACTATTCTTTATGTATAGTGAAAAATATTTATTACAAAAGTAGGTCCTGTACAAAGAGGGAGAATTATAGTTTTAACTTGTCAATGTACATAAAATTTTTTTATTCACATAATTTTATTCGTTTGAACTTCTTTGCGTCATTGGATTCATATATGTTCGCGCTCCTTAAAGAGTCTCCTTAGCTAGAAACTGCGTAAAGGCAAGAATCCCTGAAACATACACAATTCTCATTAAATCTTGCTATATACAATATTTGAATAAATTAAATATGCATAAGGAGTGGGCCGAGACGCGCTCGAAGCGATTGTACTAGCAAATTCGATGTATTCCACTTTGAAATGGTGAATCGAAGGTGTGATTTTAATCACTACCGTATGCATATGCAACGATAACAATGGTAGACGTGAAAATCGAGGTAGCGAGTGATAAGAGTAAAACAAAAGCGCGGCATTGCATCAAGTTGCATTTGGTATATCTTAAAACTTTTTTTAACTATCTTTAAACTCTTTTAACTATAATCATATATATTGATTACATTTTCTTTTAACAGCTTTGCGGGATGCAAAGGGAATGAAGAAATTATACCTACTGTTTATATTCTTCCTCCCGCGCTTCTCTTCCACGAAGGAAGAAGTCAGATTATCGACGGTCTCCTCCGCCTTGTAGTCGATCAATTTCATGCAATCGCTGATACGGAGATACCTAATGCATACAAGACACGGTAAATTATATCGAGAAGATTTCTCTATCTCTATTGTTGTTTTTAAAAGAATGAATACATGTTATGAAAAAACTGGAAGCCCTCCACGGCCCATTGCAGGAGCAATTCGAGCGTTGGTCGATAAGGCGTTCCCTTGATTAATTCTTGCATCGTTTCGTCCTTTAAGGATACTTTGCTTCTGGCGTTTTCCAAATTAACCAAATAATTCTTCAAATCCTGAAATCGCAGATTCAAATGTTATTTATTTAGCGTTCTCTATTTTAACTTACAGAAAAAAAAACATTTATTATGAAGATAATACCTGATTGGCGTCGTTAAGTTGTGTCAGGATATCCGAGAGAAGTTCGATTTCTTCCTCGAGGCCCATGAGAATTTTAAATATCAGTCTTTCCCGTGCTTCCCGACCCACAATATCTTCTGCTCCGTCTATTTCTTCACTGTGGAGGTAAATAAAAATCAATTAACCGACGTTCAAGAAATCAATTAATTCTCTTATATTTTTAAATTTGATTATTCGATTTTAAATTCAAAATCATATATCTATAATTTTTTATTCAATGTTACGAAATTTTATTACTAAACTTTATATGCACGATGATTATATAAATTTATTTTATTATTGACTGAAAGCATGACTATATAAAATTAAGTTATCAATTTTTTATGTTTAATTCCTTTCCTTCTGTTTTTAATATTCTTTATTTTTAATTCTTGCTTATTACAACTGAACTATTAAAATTACTCCAATTAACTTAATAAATAATAATTAAAAATTATAATGACTCTTTGATTAACAAATATTAAACAGATGATAAAGGCAGTTAAGAGTCCCACGCAGTTCTTGGTGCGTATATATTCTTGGTTTATTCCAATATTCTTTACATCAAATCCTTAGCGAA